CTGCCAGGGCTCAGCCAACACATGGACACACTCCTCTACCTCCTCGCCTTCAACCAGTAACAAGCCCAGGCAAGAGGAAGACTGCTGAAATTTGAGCAGTCTTCCATGGGAAAGGGTGTTATTCCTCTAGGATCAACAGGATGCCAGGAGTAAAGCACAGGTTATGGGTTTTATTGGAACAAATACAAGATGGAACTAGACAGCAATGACTAGCAAGCCAGAGTGCCAGATTATAAAGTTTGTATTTTTAGGGATATTTATTGGACAAGACAACTTTGTCTGCTATAGGCTCACAGAACTTTCTTTATTCTTGGACAGATCTGAGAGAAAGCACTAATTGCTCATGCAGACAGATTTTCCAAATGGATGGGGGAAACACAACTTTGCAGGATATGGCACCAGACCCAATTTACGGTCTTTATTCACTCACTGCCTAAACAGATGAGATTGAATTAGTCCTGGAATTAATGTATACTTTCTGTAGGTGGTACCAATGTGTTTTTTCTGGGGCTTGCCTTTCTTTTTTTGGGGGGGTAATGTCTAAATTTGCTTCACATTGCTTTTGCTCAGATTATGAAAACTGATTTTCCTCCTGGCTGCAGTTTTTTGTTTTTCCTGTAACATGTTTTCCCTGCATTTACAAAAGTTTTTAATTCCCTTTTCTACCTATGTGTTACGTACTTTCCAGCTGACAGAACCAAAGAGAATATTCAGGAACTTACCCAAAAATTAAAAGAAATTGACATAGGCACCTACAAGAGAATTTTATTAATTTAGACAATCCAGTTTTAAAAGGGAAAATCCCACTTTGTACCCCACTGAGGTGCCAGAGCACCATACTGCCTGATCTGCCAGTTCTCTAAGTGCCTACGTTTTTGTTGGTCAGTAGCACTTAGGGATATGCTGTAGTTGAGAACTGTCAGTGCTAGGTTAACGGTTAGACGAGATGATCCTCAAGATCTTTTCCAACCTAGTTGATTCTGTGATTCTGTGCCCAGAAACACCTGGCTTAATGCAGGTAGCTGCCTACATGCAGGGGAGACAGAAAGGAGGGGAAGCAAGTTGCTTACATAGTTTAAAGTCTGTGTTAAAAAAGCACCATTCTTCAAAGGATAATTCAGGCCCTGCAGCCGCTGGGTGAATGACTTACATGGTACCTGACCGTCTCCTGCTCCTTCTTGACTTCTTTATTCACAGCCTTGCAGGCCTTGCGATCCTTTCAGATTTCCCCCAAAACAGCGGTCTCTCCCAGCTCACCCCACAGTGTGGTGTGTTAGGTGCTTTCCTGGAACACAGAAATGTGCTTTGAATCTTCCTGGACAGAGCCAGGAACTGAACCTTCACACTCTCCTTGCTGAGTTAATACAGGGAAAGAAGCATCGTGGCCACTGTTTGAAGGAGCTGCGGCTGTGCCACTTCTGTGTTGAAAACTGCACAAACCTACATATTTGGTGAGACCTTTTCAGCAGTCAGGTGGATGGAGACCAGCTTCAGCATGTCAAACAGGCACAAGCCTGTGGCAAACCAAGTGATCTGCAGTGCACTGAGGGCAGCACTTCTCACCCTGTGCAACAGCAGCGTCAGTGCCCAAAAGCAGCAGCTGCAGTCTAAACATCTACCACAGCTTTCTCTGGATTGCATGCTCAGGGGACAGCTTTAAGAGCATGAAAATAGAAATTTTTGTTTTAGACTCTACTGTGCCCACAAACAAGTAATGTCCTACTTGCTTTTGCAAGCTAGTACAATAATAAAATACAGTAAATAAAATCTACATACTGTGGGGCAGATGGAGAACCCATTGGCCTTGAAGGCAAGAATTTCTTCCAAGCTCTCACTTCTTCTAAATATGTACATAAATATGTGAACCATGCACAACACAAACACAATAGCTACTGCTGGAGCCTCAAAAATCTGTTTTGTAAATAGGAAAGGAATTTCTTTACAACCCCACCAAGTGTCCCTTGAAGTTCTTCCATTAAAAACTGCCATACATCATGCAGTGTAGGTATATTTAGAGCTAAGACTGTGGCCTACAGCAGCAGATATGGACAGAAGAGGAGCTCAAGAATACTGCAAGTGCATCAAAGAAACAATGGAATATTTTAACACAGGCAACAACAGAAGATACACAAGATATAACAAAACTGCTCAGATATGCCTGCAACCAACTCTCTCCTCGTCAGAGAAAAACTTTACCTTCTACCTTTGTATGGGTGGATTTTAGAGCTGCAAGAAGGGTGTATTATCTCAGTGGTTTTAGAACTTACCTTGTACTCCCCTTCACACAGGTGACAGACTGTTGGATTTTGACCATGCATATAAATTACTGCAGAGTTTAATCTCAGAGCAAATCATCAAAGCTTTTTTTCTGAGGCTAAACATTTTTCTTCACATTTATCAACCTGCTTTACAATGATACAGAAGATAAAATGATACTATGACATATTTACTCATAACCTTATGACATGTATGGAAGGATGACCCCACTATCCACAGACAAGCATTTTCATCACTTTGCAATCATCCACTTTATCATTCACCAGGTGGTTAATGGAATTTGTCTTCATGTGTCATCTAGTACTATTTTCAGAGTGCAGCCACACACTAACATCAATGATTAACATCTCAAATGCTATCATTTCTACAGCAGTTTTAATCAAAAGGTAAAAAAAATCAGTTCTCTAAGGACTACATATGTAGTCCATTATTTGACTTGACTGAAAAACAAGTAATTATGAAAATGAATGTGATAATTATGTTTGAGATTGACCCAACAGAGACATCAGTGAGAAGAGAGAACATGGAGAATCCAGCTGTTAGCTCAGTTCTGTGCTTCATTATTTCTGTTTATCAAGCCCCTCCACCTTCAGCCAAGACCTTGAGTTTTTTGTGCGTGCTGAGGTGTGACATGCTGGTGTGAATGTGAGCTAATCTTTTACTGCTCCTAATGGCAGAACAGAACACCATGAAAAATGGTAACAGACGAAATTTGAGATTTTTAATCTTAACTTTATTGTTTTGCAAATACATAGAAGGACTTTGACATTTAGTTTGCAGAGCTTACAGTACAACTACATTTTCTATAATATTTCATTTTTTTGCTTTTTCAGGGACAAAAGTCAGTAAAATATAAAGTGAAATAAGTCCAATATGATAATATTGAAGACTCATCATCTTATTCGGGAGAAAGAGTATCAACTGTCCTTGTCTTGTGAAGTGCTGTCAAACAGGGGATAATCTCAGCGATGTCCCAATAAACCTTGACACATACCATCAACCACCAAAGAGGAACGAGAAGCTCTCATCCCTGTAATACCAACCACTGCAACTAGTGTTTAGAGTATACCTTACTTGTGAACCACACTTGCGTCCACAGAGAGGGAAATACTTAGGAGTGCTTTAATTTCTAATCCTACTTTACAAATCGATTTAAAAATTGGAGTCACACGTTGTTGCAAATAGCTTGTGCGGACATGTTATGTTTCGTAACAATACTAATATTTTACCACAATACAGTCTTCATGATAAAAAAATTCAAATGTGACATATAGACATTTGCACCACTGTTTTATATGGAGAGAGCCTGTTCTCCTTTCTTCACCAGTTTTCAGCACCATACTGACTTTTGCTCTCTTGCATTAACACTGATACAAATAAGAGAAGACACAGAACTCAAATATCCAGCATGTATGACAGTCTTCAAGTACTCTTCCACACTCTTGATCAAGTGTGATCTCCAAGCTAAAGAGAAAAAATCTCAGTTGCACAGATCTTAGCTGGTTATTCCTCACAACATCTCTGTGAGGTAGGAAGAAAAAGAAAAAAAATCCGCTTTTCCAGCAACAGGAGACAAGGCAGAGGGCACAGACGACATTTCTCAAAACAGTAAGTGGAGAACTGGAAAAACTGAAATTCAGGAGTACTTGGTTTCTATTTCTTTGCTTCAGAAACCAAGGTGCTGAATTCCCAGACATTATCAGGTCATTAGTCTTTTTACAGCCATATGTTAATGACAATGGCTTCTGTGCGTACTCCAGCAAAGCATAGTTCTATGGCAGGAGCAGCATACACCTGATGCTGCCCTCAGACACTTCTCTGCTTTATATATGTCAACAAATGTTCAATGTAATTAACTAATCAGTCCTACAACTAATGTAGCATAAGTAATAGCAACAGATCAACATTTCATGTATAGATTTAAGACTTCCAGAGCTTTTTTTTTTTTTTCCCCCCTCTGGATAAGTTAATAGTAACTCCCTTCATCTGTTTTAATACTCCTCTCCTAAAACCAGCATCCATTCTGGGTACTCTCTACGGGAGCTTTGAGTGATGATGAACAAGACACCTTCAGGCATCACAACTATCCCCTCAGAGTAGCTTTTCACCCATCGTTGGCCCTGAAGGCAAAGATAGGCACTTTTTGCTGTGTACAGCACCACAAGGGTCGGAAGTGTCACTGAAGTGTCTTTATGGACTGGGTAAGATGTCTCTGGGCTGCTCTATCTGAAACCAAAACTGTTCCATTCTGTGCTAAAATAAGAGTCAACTTTTGTCATGTAGAGACTTTTTAATCTGCAAAACCACTGTGAGCAGAACTTCAGTCCACCTCCACAGCAATAGAAATGGCCAAAATTTAAGAAAGTAACTTGTCTGGAATGAGTGAATAACATAGGGAATACACCTAAACAGAGAAAACAGGCAAAAATGAAAGCCAGGTAAAAATGAACTTGTGCTAATCCTAGGTTGAGATACCACTTTGATCAATGTAGTCTCAAATCTTGCCTGCAAATTACTTGTCAATCAAATCACTTGTGTATGTTTAATTACAAAATTAGCACTAGTCTTTGTACAACATGTTTCTTTCCCATGGGCTCAGCATCAGATCTTTACACATCCAGGCTACAGAACGGCCTACCACCCATAAATTCAGGTCACACAAGTCAGTATTATGGGAGTACTTTTGTAGCAGCATAAAGGTACTTAAAAAGACATTTTGTTAAAAAATTATTTAGAGTAAGTGCAGCTAAACAAAATAATCTATAATCAAACCAGTTTTACTTCTGTAAAACCCATACATGGATCAAGACAAATTTTTTAACTGTCCCATGAAAGAGAAGCATTTCTTATTTTAGAGTGGAAAAATGCAGTACAAAGACTATTGCAGAAGATAAAATACTGCAGGATTTTCCTATCTGGTTCCCTAGAAATGTGTTACATTCCTTCCACAGCATATGCTGACTATGGTGAATACCTCATCCGCCTAGTATTAGAATGCCTTTCCATAACCATATTCCAACACTGTTTATCACATGCATGATAGGCACATACATATATATATATATATATATATGTATATATTTATTTATGCACCTACATTTTTGCATGTTTTCCATCACTTAATCTGCTCTAGTCCTGATATTAAAAATGTCAGGAATCATTTCAGCTGAAGTGTTTTATGTGTTCCTATTTATATGAATGACAGAAACCATTATACTTGGAGAGAACACTGTATTTTGGTAAATGTGGATTTCCAGTCAATTCATGCTCTGTATAATAAATATTGTGCTGATTTGGGATGTGAGATCCAATGCTGTCATATTTGCTATCTGCAAAAATAACAGTCATTTTGTAATTAATAACAGGGAAAGGAAAATCTTTATCAAATAGCAGAACCAGTATAAGAGAATGACTTTTCATTTTGATTGTCTCATGGCATTCATTCTAGTTATGGTATCATGAGGTTGGGTTCCAAACGCTATTTTTTGCTGATGCCTTGATCAGTAAATGGTGCAAACTTACAGCCTTAACCCTAAACCAACTGTATTCTCTTCAGAAGGAATCTTCCAAGTGTCTGTAACATTCTCCCTGTTTCTCTATGTTAACACTGGAAGGACAGATCTCATTCCAGAAACAATCTTCATTTGCCTTTGAATATGGGCTGGGGAAAAGGATTGTATCTGGAGAGTAAAAGCAGTTAATGCAGGACAACTGTACAGCTATCACCTGTCTGCGCAGGGACAGAGACTTTCTAATCTTCCTCCTTCATACTAGCCCCATTCTAGTTTGTATGATTTAAACAGAAGGGGTCAGAGTTGGACTTTGGGAAGTGTAGGCTTCTTAATGCCAACGGACAGCACAGCATTCTGGGCTAAGGACACAGTTATTTCCACTGGTAAAAAGTTTTCTCACAGATTCATTAAAAGGTTTGAGAAAAGGTAAGTCCGTATTTCTGATGTCTCTCTACAGCTGCATACATTTGCTACAGAGCACTCCAGAAACAAACCCTCACCTTTACAGGAGAATAGACATGGTAAGTGCTGTAGTTCCAGAGCAATGGAGTGGTTTGTAAGTTTAATGACATAAGGAAAAGCAGAGGCAATCATAAGTTTTGCATGGTCATTTTCTGAATCTCTGTAAAAGATGTATTTGGCAGACAGAATACAAGGCATTTTTTTTGACAAGTTTCATTAACATTTTAGTATAACATTATTCACTATTTAGGGAATATATTCACCCTTCCATTAAAATTGGTAATGTTATGAAAGTAAAATGCAATTTAGGCTGATAGTCACAGTATGAATTTAACTATCTGAAAACTACTTACAAAGCCCTTTGAAAAAAAAAAAAAGAGAGCAGGAAAATTGCAAAACTGTCACTGATTCCTCTTCACCAAGCTTCATCTGGAAACAAGCCTTCTGGCAAGTTAAGCCCAGTCTGTATTTCACTTTAAATCTGCCTCATAGGCATCAGTTTTGGCGAAACCTGGTAAAAAGGAGGGAAAAAACACAACAGCTGGCATACAGATATAGCAGTACAGCCCAACATTCCCTTCCACCTCTATCAACTATGTGCCACCAAAGACTAGAGACACTGTATTTACATAAGCTGATATGTTTGCAGTATTTCAGAGATAAACACTCCCACAACTAAATTTTCTGATAGAAGAATACAGTATATGTGTGGTGCTAGTATCCAGCCTCTAAACTTAATTTATTTTGAGTTTGATTATTTATTTAAGAATGCAAGCAGATTAAACTTGGACAGCTGAACCTGTACTTGCCACTGCTAATTGCATGGTCTTCTATGGGTCCCGATGCCAGCAGAAGGGATAGCTGAACTCAATCGAAGCAGCTCCTCAATTATACACTGTACAAGATGGCACACAAATGTAACTCAAAAATAGGGCATGGCTTAATTAAGACACTGGTCCATAAATGGTTATAGCTTGGGTACAGTGGGGCTGTACTTTCCAAGGAAGCAAGAGGAGAGATAGCTGCAGATTGACAACAGCTTCAGCCATCACCTTCTAATCCACTTGCATTCACACACCAATACACTGAATGATGTAGAGGCAACAAAACAGATTATATTCAACACATGATTTAATTGCCACTGCAGTACTGAAATAAGTATACCAAGGAATCTTAAACTGATGATTTCCCTTCTTTGCTAATAGCCAAGTTCATTCTACTTTTCCTCCCCACCCACCAGTAGATAGGATGCTGGGTCAATGCTGGGTCTGTGCAGAAGCAGTCAACTGAATTTTGCAACGCATACTGTACCTATAGTTGTCCTGGTTTCAGCTGGGATAGAGTGAATTTTTCTTCTTAGTATCTAGAATGGTGATATACTTTGGATTCAGTATGGGATTTGGTATGAGAGATAACACACTGGTGTTTTCGGTTGTTGCTAACAGATCAAGGACTTTTCAACTTCCCATGTCCTGTCTGTGTGCAGGTGCACAAGAAGCTGGGAGGGATCAGAGACAGAGCACTGGACCCAAATCATCCAATGGAATATTCCATATCATGTAGGGTCATGCTCATTATATAGAGGAGGGTCAGCTGGGAAGGACAGGGTTCTTCTTTTTAAGATTGTGGTTTCAGGATCTTAGCTTCTCCAGGACTGCTAGCTGGGAATGGGCTGGGCATCAGTTGGCAGGTTGTGAGCAACCACATTGTGCATTTGTACTTTCTATTACTGTTATGAGTCGTTTATTTTATTTCAATTATTAAACTGTTTTTATCTCAACCTATGAGTCTCCCTACCTCTACTTCTCCAATTTTCTTCCCCATCCCCCAGGTGGGGGAAGGTGAACAAGAGGCTGCTGGTGTTTGGCTGCCAGACAGGTTTAAACCACAAAAACAGTATATGCATATATTTGTTTTGATGATTTGTTTGATGATTATATAATTCAACACTTCTAATTTTACCTTTTTTAATTTAAATTTGCCTTTTTCCATTCACATTCATTTTTGTGTGAGGACTTATGTATTTTTTTGGGGGGGTTTAACTCCATATACTTATAAAAATCAATTAGTGATATTATAAAATATATTATGAGACCAAAAATAAACCACAGTAAGCCTAAATAGGAAACTAGATGAGGAAAGAAGGTGTAAATGGGTACAATACAGAAAAGACTTTGAAGAGTAGCAATGGTTAACACTTGATTGAACCCTGACTACCCTTCTACACAAGCACCCTCAGTATAAGCTCTCCACAGAAGATCCAAGCGTCTTTAAATATCTCCTCTTTCCAGTCCTACTTAAATAGATGCCCCAGGATGAAGATCAAAAATAACTCATGTGATCTTACTTGTTCAGGAAGAAAACAGTTCCACAAATATCGGGCTTCTAGTTGATTAATGTGTCCCACTGAAACATCATATACTGCACTCCTTCTGCCTCCTTATCCCATCTTTTTCACTTAACAGTACTGAACAAGCTAACTCATGGAAGAATGATATATAAGGGCCTTTCCAAGCATTAAAGCCTCTTTCTTTTAGAGGTACGGGCTGTATTTCCTGTACCAGTTAGATTTCTGTTATCCTTCCTCCAGCCACTATATATCATCATTTATAAGCTTATGAGAATAGCCACCAAGGAAAGCTTAGTTCATGAAGAATGTGTTTACTGTATGAAATGCTAATGAAATGTTTCCAGTGGATGGAAACTGTTCATTGATTTTTCAAAGTTGTGTATGAAGTAGGATAATAAATAGATGTAATAGTACAAGTGTAGAGGAGCTGAAGAAACTCCCTGAGTGCACCAGAATTCCTGGACTAGTTCCAGAAATGTTTCAACATTTCTGAGTCCAAGTGCCTATGTGCCTCACTTAATTTAGGCCTATTTCTGCCTTACCCAGGGATGGTTCCATTGAAGTAAAAGCACAAACTGGAGGACAAAGATAGCACCATTAAAATATGTATTCTGCAAATAATGAAAAAAGGCAATTACAGGAAGAGATTATTGTTTTTCTGCTGTTGTAGATTTTGGTGCCATCAAAACCTCCAGTGTTTTACATTTGAATGAGCATATTACTTTAAATGTAATTTCTGCACATCTGATGCTAACAGCTGTCATTTGTGTGTACCACTATCTGCCTCAGAAAGGGTCTGATCCCCATGAGTGCTGAAATGCCACAATGCCTGCTGAAGATAACAGAGGTGGCAAGAGCCTAGCACCACTCAGAACTGGACCAAAATAAAACTGTTTGCTCTAAATAAAATGTGATTAAATAAGCAGAAAAATGCTAACGTAACAAAGGAGATGGTTTGAGCTTGGAAAACAAGAAGCAATCAAGTCTGAAATGCAGAAAGCCCCCTGAGGACACTGCTTTAAATCACACTAGAGCCAGTCAGTTTGGTAATGCCCTGTGCTAAGAGTGCAGCATTCGGTAAGGGCTGAATGTGCTAATGAAAACTATTTTACAGTGCACAACCACAGAGTTGCTACTTTCTTACAGCACCTCCTGAGCAACACATTCATAATATTATTTCACTTACAGGAAGAATATCTTATCTTGGAAGCTTCAAAATACTTTGCTATTGCACTGAACAGGTAAGCATACTGAGAGGAGTTTGCCTGGACAGGACTGTACAAAATCTCATAACTAGTAAGAGGACACATGGCCTCAGGGACTCCATGCAACTCAAGCTGGTTGACACTCTGATTTCCAAACCCAAACTACCCTTTTCAGCTATACAAACAGCCCTATGCTTATTTCATTATGTTTCTTTATGGCAAGCAGTTCTTTTAAAGCCCAATTCTGAATGATGTTGAGTCCTAATAACTTCTAATGACCTTATCAGGTGTGCAAAAGCAAGTTAATGTTCAAAAAATGTAAAAACAGTCCCTTAAAAAAAACAAGATGACCAGTGTTAGTAAATTTGTTAAAATAACAGAAGTTGCTTATACATTATTAACGCCCAATTAAGTGAAACTGCACATAAAACCAAACCACAATTACATCAGCTTTTGTATAGAAATCTGTTCCTAATGTGGCTCTTCAGTGGGGGTGATTGATCAGGAAAACACAACACCCATTTAAAAATGGACTTAATCCTGTAACAACAACCTGCTTCCTCAAAGGAAAATGTACTTCCAGAAAATAAAACCATAGCCTCTGTTATTTTGTACTCACTAGCTTGAACTTGGACAATTTCTTTTTAAACATACACTAGTCAATTGCTATTCAACTACCTAATGTTTTCTCAACATGCTTTTCTTAAAATTCATGTTATCTTTTAAGATAATTTTGTAAAACTGAGCTTTTATATTAAGGAAAAAAAAAAAGGAGGGGATGGAGACTTTTTACCCAGACAGACTTATCCTGATTATTTTTATAATGAAATACATCTGCAAAAGTACGGTTCTCAATCTGTTCTGTCATGGTCTCATCAAAGGTATAAACCAGTATTAGCCCAAACAGATTACCTGCCAAGGTGATCTATATGCTAGGTTACAGCAAAACTGATTTAAGCATGGAAGATAAGCCAACACTTTGTCTTCACAATACAGTAAAATCAAGGGTAAATTGTTTATTTTTGATATGATGCTAGTCTATAATGAAGATTGTTGACTCTAAATCATGTTTTCCTTGGCATTTTGTTGTTGCAAATGTCCTTTAGGAGATGTTTTTCCAAATAAGCAGGCTGTGAAAATGGGTCTGTATAACCAAATGTGTCTCAAAGCAAGCCATACAGGCTATAAAGTTCTCCTCTCCAGAAAGGAGCAGTCTGCATGAGGATAGTTATACATAAAGGTATAGACATCCCATAAAATCTTGTTTGTTATGAACCTAGAGAGATGTTTGTTTTAGTTCAGATCATTCACTGTATCCACTGAAAAATGCTGCCAGAAAAGGGTCAACTCCTCATTTTCCACCCATTAGTTCTTTTTCAAACTAGCAAAACATATAATCCAAAAAAACTGCTTTGACTGTAGCAATGCAGTATCACTAAAGTTCCTGTCACCGATATAAACAAGAACAAGATGTCTCATTCAGTGAACATAAATAATCACAAGCACACCTGTTAATCTTGCAAGGAAACCTAAGGCAGAGTCTTGAAATGTGGGGAAAAAAAAGGGATCAAGGATGCTGCTTTCTGAACAAATGCCTATTGCACACTCAAATCTCTATATTCTGAACTCCAAAACTAAGTAAAAAAGCTGCAGGTGTTCACTGTGTATGAAAATCAGGCCATCAAGGGTCCAATATGACACAACAGTGACCCAGTCTTGCTGTCACAGATGTCAGCAGAAATTTGGATAAGGATTTCAGTGAGAGGAGGACTGGGTCACTGTGGCCTGGAAACATTCTTTAGAGAAGGAAAAAAAAAGAAGAGCTCGTACTCTTCCATGCCACAGATTTAATACACAAATCATTGTGGTTCATGTCTTCCATCTGCAGCGCTATAAAGATTTCAGGCACTACCAATCAGTAGGTAGCGCTGACCCCCACGCATACTTGGCAGAGGTACATGCTTTGCAAGCAAGCACAGCTTTGCAAGCATTTATTCAAGCCGCATTCTTTCAAGGTAAGTATATGAAAGTGCATAAACCAAGCAGCATCCACATCTTTCATGCCCATGGGTCCTTTAGTGCAGCTCGTGATTTCATAACCATGGCAGCTATACAAAGCAGGCTGCACTGGAGTTTGCCTTCAGAACTAGGAAATGGTGCCTGTTAAGTGTTCCTTCCTCATCCTAGTAGGACAGATCCTAGGAATCTAGACTGTGGATGGATTGTTGCAATACCTCTCATCAATTGCTAACTTCAGGCCATCCTGAAGATTTAAAATTTATACCATTCCTTTGTGACATTTACAGGAAGGCACTAAGGGACAGCGAATGGTGCTTTTACTTGGTCCAAATAGTCTTGCCCTATCATATCACTGTGCTGCTGCAGGACTTAATCTTGTAGTCCATCATTTTAAGCTTATCATTTCTCTCTCTGAATTCTTTGGTTGCTTCTGCTTTCACTGCCTTGAGCACAGACTGCTGGACTTCACTTTGAGTAATACAAGCTCAATTAAATGCATACATATTGGTCACCTGAATCAAAAAGAAACCAACTCCTTGTAAACCAGCAGGTTTGGAACATGTAAGGACTGGTGTCTTCTGACAACAAAAGTCTTTTCCTGTAGTTTCAGTCTATTTAAATGCTAACTAAACATGGCACCTTCAAATTAATCATGAAGTTAATCCTCAAATTAAATATGCAAGCACAAACCAAAGTGACTGACTGCAGTAGATACAAACCTACAAGGTCCTATTTATGTTTTAATTTTGGATGCTAGCTGTTTGACAGGCTGATCAGTCAAATGAAAAGAAGTCTTGACATTATCAAGTTTTAAAAAATTTAATTTTTTTTTTCCTAAATCACAGTCATAAACTGAATGAATAATTTATTTTGCACACAGAACTGCTGAGTATGTAAAATTGCTTTGACTGTATATTAAAAAGTAATAATGGCTTCCATAAAATTTTACATGGGAAATTAATAATGGAGTAAAGTGATTTTGTGGCAGTTTCCTGCACTCTGCAGTTGCAGGTCACCCGTCTTTAACTGAACAATTTTTCTCAGATAAATGAAAGCATTTTCAGAAGTGAACAGATCTTTGTTTAAAATATTTAAAACTCCACAAGAAAAACATACACTATCATATTTAGTTATCAGAAATGCTCTCTTATAGACACCAGAAATGAATGAAACTCCACAGGTTCATTGCTCATGAAGTTTTACTTAATGCCAACAGTATGCTCAAAGCCTTAATAAAAACTCTTTCAAATACTAACTGCTCTGCAGTCTTTCAATTATGTGCCCTAGCCCTAACATGAAACTCTGCAAAGAGGAAGATAACTGCATTTCATTACCAAATATTCCCCAAATATTTTTACAGCGCAATTTGTACGCTGTCATACTCCATGTCCTCACCAAAGGAGGGCTGACTTGCCCCAAAAGACTTCACAACACAGAAAAAAACATTTTGTAATGGGCATGTAGGAGAAGGCCATGAAGAAATCAACTACGTATATGGAATGAGTTACAATCTAGTGCACTACAGCTTTCCACTAATATGTTAGCTTTGTGTTAGCATTAATGAGACTTAAGAATTAATGTGAAGGTCAAAAGGCAGTGGCTTCTGGATTAATGCAGAGCATAAGTTTCATTCGTACAAGGCAAAGGGAAAGAAAAAGCAAAGAAGTCAACAGTAGAGCATTTGATTGGCACTAGTAACACAGAGCGGACACTTGTAGTCACCCCACCTAAATATAGCATGAAAACTTAGGAGCAGAGAATTAGGTAAACTATCTTATACAGTGGAAAAAAAAATATTTGTCTACCTCTCAGGTATGAATCAGCTCCTCTCTTCAAAACATTCTAAAAGTTCCCTTTCCACACTGTCCTTTTACTATTAGTCATTTCTCCACCTCTCCTGTTTCTCCCAGCTTCTAATGCTTCCAATATAACCATACTACATCAGCCCTAAACTATCTTATTTTCATTGTGAATTCCACACAACCTTCAGCTATAAGGAGGGAACTTACTGTGTCTGCAAGTCTTCATGGGACAAGTATTTGTGAAAAATACTTGTTCTGACACCAGACTAAATATATTTGTTTGTAACATGACTTACTGTGAAGTCACAGCCAGTGCTTTTCTTGATATCATCCACTGTCAGTCCTTCCCAGATTTCCACAAGGGTCAATCCCTTCTTCTTGTCCACATCAAACACAGCCTGGGAGGTTCAAATAACATGTATTTTTTTTATTATCACAGCAGAAAATGCGGATGTAAGAAGTAATATTGTACAAAATGGTGTGCTGAAGTAGGTAGCATTCTCTCAGTATCAAAAGATGCCATTATCAATTGGTTTCACTCTTCACTTTTCTGACTGACAAAGATTTCTGCTACATTTATGGTACCTGAAAGAATCTAAAATACAAGATGTGTTAATTTTTTTGGAAAAAAGTGCAACTGTTCTTCACTGAATGAAATGAGGACCATGCCCTGTGGTCCAGCCTGGTGTGAACTGGGAGGTCCAAAGGAAAGGGCTGAGATGTTACTTGCTGCAAGACAATGTTCACCATCACCAGGAGATCATGAAGGAAAACAGAAAAAGGCAATGTCTCCCTCATTCTTGTATTTCATTTTAAGGCCAGTAGAAAATTGAGTGGTTGATCACCTTCACCAGATTATAAGGTTCCAATGGTCACTGCACACCCAGTGCAAATTTTAGTATTTTCAGAAGCTAGTAATGAAAGGCAAGATTTCTTGTATTTTTAATAGAAAGCTTGTGAGGAAGTGTCTGAAGGACCAAAGGCTGTTCTCTCTGATGTCTTCATAAAATATGCTTTCCAATTTCAAGGCTCACAAGCACATCAAATAAAACCACCTATAAAACAATGCACTTTAATGGTGCCTACTAGAGGGGGAGATACACAGGTCACATGATAGTTGACAGGGAAACCCTAAGGTCTATAGTAATTTTCCTTTTAGAAAAAAAAAAATCAGTAGCAAAAGACCAGTGAAACTTGAACTTGAAATGTGAAGTCTTAAACTGATCACAGAAGTCCACTAAGTTCAGCTCTCCTCTGGGCACATGAGCCTGGTTTATGGGACTGAAAAAACATAGCGCCTCTAAGTCTTAAAAGAGAAGCTGGGTATAAGGAACATATATACTAGGAAGGCTAGTGTGGAATCAGAATTTGAAACACTGTCTAAGTACTGTTGTACATTTGTGTCATCTCCTAATAAAGCAATGAGATCTGACAAGTGGTGACTGTTAGAGAAATTTGCTTGTTGTTTCTTTTCTATCAGTTCTTGTTCACTTCCATTTTTTATACCTTACATTTGTATGTGATCATTTAGTAGAAAGCTGAAAAAACTTCCACATTTCCATTTATTTTCACTTATTTTGTGAAGAAAAAAACCCTTCAAATTACAGTAGCAATATATCACCAAGAGAAAGCAAATTCTACATCAGCACCTTTGATGCATTCTACTTAGTATGATAGATGGCTCACACAGGGACTACTCTAAGCCCTTAAAAATGTAAACACTGACAATAAAAGAAGTATGATTACAGCAAAAACCTTAAGTCACTTATCCTTTGCTGAGAAGATCCACTAATGTACTTTGAGCACCAGCAATATCAGATACCCACAGAGAGAAAATTGCCTCACAAATGGAATCAAGTAAGGACAAAAGAACTAAATCCTTTCTACAGCTATTGGTTGTGTTTCTCCAAAAGAGTCTGCAGTATATGCCAAAGAAATGCCAACTGTCTGACATACACATGCTACATAGTTGTTGCTCTGGTGGAAAAAACGAGCTGTGATGACAGCTGTATTTGAAGATTTGCATCTCACACAGCAAATTTTCAGAAATACTTTGGGAAAAATAAGGAGATACACACTCTGCATGCTTCTCATGCATGGCACCTTTGTTCTGAAGGTGTCTAAGAATATGGTCCAGTATGCTAAATGTCAACGGTGAAAGCTTTAACAGGAAAAATATGAGCCCCCAGACTTCTGGAATTGACCTCCAAGGGAAGCTTTGACCTTCACTGGCAACAGGTACTGAATATAGTCTTCATTTTTATGAAGTTTTAGTACTTCTATGGATTGTCTCTTCTTAGGGATAGAGGAGGAAAGTATTGTCAAGGATTCAAGAAAAGTACTTTACCTTCTCAGTAATGATGCGGTTTACACATTGTTTCCCAGTAAGTGGTAAATTGCACTTTTCCAAGATTTTATGGACGTTGCCCTGTGTTTAACAACACACAGACAAACAGTTTTCAAAACCAACACAACTTACTCAGATTTCAAATATGTACATGAAAATCACAGATGTAGCCATTCACTACTATTGAAACATTCACTGTACCCAGAAAACTCTTTGAATTAACTTCTTTGGCAGATTACATCTCTGGCAATTTGGGACAGTTATTATTTAAATCCCACATATAGGGAGATGACTAATAAGAATCTCACTGTACCACTGAGTGGGCTCCTGAGTTTAGAAGTTCTGCATACTTCTGCTTAATAATCTGTCTTTCCTGCTGCAATGTGAGAATAAGAGATACATGGAACATCACTGATGACACATAAAGGACAAAAATTAGGGAAGGTCATTACAGGCATGACATTTCTCTGTCTTCTACTTTATCAAAAACAGTATGTGCAAGATCAGCCATACACACAGGCATTTCAAAGCCCCAGGGCTCAAGTGCATAGTCATACTCTGAAAATAATAAATCCAGTTTCTTTACCCACATTGAATTCCCATTCCCTCCATCTCTCCAGGAAAGCCCAAAAGCAGACTAAGAGATGAATGCAATATGCTCATCCTCAAGTGCTACACAGAAGTTACATTATCTCTGGTTTAGATAGGATGAATTAGCATGCAAATATAGTAGAAAAGAATGTATACATAAAAAATAGGATTTACGTTAAGGCACTTCATTTTTTCTGGGGCATCAAATGTCAGCTGCTCTAAATCCTGGGAAAAATATTACCTAATGAGAAGACATAGCTTCTGACATGAAGCTGGGGAGGTAAAGTTTGGGTGGTGAGGGTTTCTTTTTTCTTCTTTTTTTTTTCTTTCTTTTATTCCTTCAATTTTTTTAATATGAATTCACAAATAGCTTTAGATCCCGCTAAATGAATGTAGGCTGCAAGAGCTCTGAATGGGCATAAAAGAGATGGATCACTACATTTTTAGACAGTATTTGTAGGTGTTTTACAGAGGTAGCATTAAGTGAACATTTCTCCCATTATCACATGCTTTTGTTTTTTCTCTAATTATCAATTTTCAGTTATACATTTCAAAACTCTCAGAGTATTACATGTCTCATTTAACCACCTGAACACAATACTTTTTTAAATTTACAATCATCAGTTTGCCTTGAGGCTTAATATAAACTCAGGAACCATCTTTCAGCCAGTTTGACTCCTGAGTGATAACAAAATACACATGCTTTAGAATTTATCTTTTTCTCTTTCTAATTCTAATTATACTGGCAAGATCCACATCTGGTATCAAGGCAACTATTCTGATGAAACTCACTCACTCTTAATGAAAATAATGACTTGCGACAGTGTTACTTTCAGTTGATCTATTTGTATCATGTCCACCTGAGGACCTTCCTGCATAGTTTGCCCAAGAGCCAAGATTAATCTGTGCTGTTTGTAATATCTTCAGCAACATATCAGGTATACTTCTCAGACGTGTGAAATGAAGTGTCTCTTCTTGGTACCCAGTTGAGATGAAAATACAGAGACTTGCAGAGGTGACAGTTTGAATGGCTCCTGTGACCCTAAGAACTGATACTTAATACCTTCTTAACACTTGGGCTGAAAATTATTGTATTACCAGTTGCATTACAGGCAACTTTTTGAAGACATCCATCAGGGCGCTATCAGAACAAGAATCGAAATGGAACCGCATGAATTCTTACCATCTGAGTTTATACGGGATTTGTTCAGATAAATGAAAAGACTGTTGTGTAGATGCATAAAACCTTAAGGTGTTTCAGACTGCTTTAAGTAAAAAAAATCTGTTGTTGAGGAACAAAAATGTCCTTAATCTTCAACAACACTTTAAAATGAAAACTATTCACAATGATAGAAAGGACTTTTTAATTCAGTGCTCCATGTTTCAGTCACATCCAAATAAAATGCTTAAAACTAGTTTCCATCCTGTTTTTCTGAATGGTGTAGACAACTCATTTCACAACACAGAACAATTACTAGCCATTTCTTTAATATGTTTTGCAAAACATGTCAATGATGGTATGGGGGTAAGAACTTGACTTTTATTTCTTTTAGGCAGCATTTAGCAGATTAGGCACAGATGAACAGTAACTATTTAGAGATTAAATAACAACCTTACATTCTTTTTTTTTTCTTTTTCATGTTTATAAACAAAAAAGTAATTTAGCAAAAAATACCTTAAGAAATGTCATAATGAATACCATAAGAAATACCATAGACTTAAGGTCCATTTGCCAAGTGTTTCACAGCAGCTTAAGCATATGGAGCGAAAATTGAGCCATCCTTCCACAGGTGTGCCCTCCTTTTTCCTGACATGCTGTGATTCATAGATTACCTGAGCTAGAGACTGCTTCTGGGCAATGCTATTTAATCGTCACTGATTAACTTAACCTCATAAAACAGTTTAGTCACTTTTATGTAGACTTAATTCTTTGAACTTCTGCATCATCCTGCTGATCATCCACAACTTCATTACCTGGCTGTGAAAAATGGTTCTTGCCGTTTTAAACATTCTGGTTGCTAAATTCAGTTGGCTTCTTTTATAAGGCCGTGACCCACCATTCTGCATTCATCTTCTCCATGCCCTTATTATTTTGCATATTTCTATGTTACCCTTCCTCAATAGCATTTCTTAAGCTGAAGGCTCTTCTACAAAACTCATTTCATGTTCTGTCATCTTCTTTCTGTACCTTTTGGTTTTCATTACAAGTAAAAATTTAAGTAATTAAAAATGTAAATAATTCCAGGCACAGCATATTTAGTTTCATTTGTAATATACTTCATATCATAGTTTTAAAAGAGGATAATTCTTTGAGTATTTGAGAGTTAAGACAGATGCTAGTTTCATCCTCATAATCAAGTGTAAATTATATTTTGCCTGTACAGCAAGGACTCAGCCTACTACATTTAAAAACTGCAACAAGTGCACTGAAAAGACAATGGACTTTTAAACTCTCACAAAACTTAATGTTCAACAAGCTATTACTACTATATGAAAATACTTAAAAGGGATTAAAATATCCTTCACAAGATCATAAACCAGACAAAACTGACTGCAAGAACTACCTATTACAGCAACTCTTGAATGTCCATTGAAGGGACTGCATGTCTTTCACTGTATTTCCATCTATCAAACTTTGACAGCTGTTGATTTACAGGAGACTTTGGCATCTAATGACAGATTACTTATTTATTTGGAGAATAAGATGACAAAAATATCCCTATACTAAAAATCCAGCAGACATAACAGACTGTCAGAGTACATGCAGACATTTCTTTCATTCAGTGGCACCCGGGCTTTGAGCAGGATGAAAGATTGCACCTCTGATGCACAGATACAGATGAAATAAGTTTGTGAGAAAATCTTTGGTGTAAAGAATTTAAAAGCTGTGAAAATAAAATCAGATCTGTAAGAAGCAGTCACCCCAATAAAAGACTTTTGACTTTCAGCACTGGTCTCATGTGTTCTGTATTTGCTTGTGTATTTAAAAAAAAAAAAAAAGAAGAAAAAAATAAAAGAGGAACAACTGAAAACTGTAACACCAGCGATTGATTTCCAAATATTAGACCTCCATATTTCATCATTTTCACTTTTGAGCAAACAAGGAGTAGTAGTTGGAAGACCTCAAAAAGAGTCTAGGTAAGAGGTAAGAATGACAAGAATACCCTCCATTTTAAAACAAGAATAAAATGAAAAATCATGTACATAGTTTAGTTTTGGAATGCCTTCTCACAAAAGCAGAAGAAATAATTTATGAAAGCCTATAACTGGCTCTCTAGAAGTGCACACCAGGCATCCCATCTACATAAGAGCCCAAGTTCTGCATACATATGCCAAAATAAGTCCATGCCTGGACTGTTTGTAACAATGAACCTATCTGTGTATCCATCTTTTTCAGGTTTCAGTACTCCTATTGACAAATCAACATGTAAACAGCTCCCCTACTCTGTGCTGAAAGAAGATTTTGGAGAAAAACTGGCATAAACAATTACACTGTGTGTGGACTCTGAGCCTTAACCAATTTTCACAGTAACTAAAAATTTAGCATAAAAATTTATTCAGATCATATTAATACCTTAAGTATGTTTCTAAGCAAATGGGTCATTACACATCTAGTTTTGGGGAGGCTGTGATAGGGATGATAGTCTTACAGATGAATTTACTTTCTACTTTCATTTACTTATATATACACAGAAACTACTGGGTCAGGCTCAGCTCTGTAACTGAAAATATGCCCCTTGAGATCACAGCTTAGTATAAACTCTGAAACTACTGTATTTTTCAACATTTTAATTCATTCTTCAAATTGCATTTAAAACCACACCATATATTTAGCTTTCATATTCACATATTTACTATTGTTTACCATGCAAATTCCTTTTGCTTGCCCAAATACATTCTAATAGGAATACTATCCTGAATGATACACAACTAAATCTTATTGCAGACACAACATATAGTTCCCTGAAAATAGAGATTTTTGTCCTTCAGTACATTTTCCCATAGTTTGGACAGCTCAGTTCTAGGAATTTCAAAAGTCAAGTTTCCTATGACCTTCTGTGGGAGACTGTTTAGATCTATAAACTCCCACCACAAAGAAGTCTCTGGATTAACCTCTGTCACATAGTGATGTAAGGCAGCTTGCATCTCATTATGCCCAAAAGCTCTATTCTATTAAGCTCTCAGAGCCAATTTGACTGGCAACATCAAAGGTAAATATTTTTCCATCATAACAAGTATCTAACCATGGGGAACGTAATTTTTCAAATTATTCTGAAGCGAAGAGTAAAACCTCTGGGGTAGCATTTACTGGAGCTCTGGCAATTGCCACTCATCAAATTTGCATGAAGCAACTAAAAAAATGTGTGCAGCTTTTAAACATCAAGTTAATATTTCATTTTTTTCCATGGTAAATGATTCACTTACAAAAGGAAAGGAACCACACTAACCTAGCCCTCTGTTGTACCTCCATAATAACCAACAGCGAAACTGTCAAAATCTCACAAAGTAGCAGAATAAATGTAAGTTGTGCTATTTTTTCCTTCTGTTTTTGGTACAAACCACTTATTTAGAAAGAAGCAGCAGAGCCTTACCTTGGCTGAGTGCTCCATGGTGACAACCACTTTGGTCTGCGCACTGGATACGAGGTCCATGGCACCCCCCATTCCTTTCACCATCTTACCCTAAAAATAGATTTTTAATAGAAATGTAACATTTTTACTTTTTTTTTTTTTTTAAAAAAAAGAATATATTGGCTGCAATGACAGCACAAGATATTCACCTTTCCTGCACAGAAAGCCCACCTATTTCATCGCTACTGTATTCAAATGCTAACATAGCTTCACCAGAGCAAAACCGGCTGTCTCATTCCAGGCTTTGTATGCTGTAAATAGGAGAAGAATGATGAGTAGAATAGTAGAGTAAGGATCCACTGCCATGTCGGGGGTGTAACTTAAATCTGAGTAGTACCATTGGGTTAATGGAAGCCCTTACACTGAGCAGTGATGAATTTAGTTCCAGTTATTCTGACATTAGAAAAGCAAAGTGTTCATTCCATTGATAGAGATGTCATTACTTCCTCAAAAGAAACTCTGCTTTATGAAATGCAGCAACAACAACATCTAAGCACTCTCTACCTGCCAGTTTATAAAGTCATGGCTCATATCACTGTATCAGCACAAACCTAACTTTCTGTTCTATTCTAAATGTCTGCAGATGTCATTTCGAACATGGGCAAATAAATTAAGGTGGATCAGTATTCGCTTCTGATAGTCCCTCAAACCAAGCAATAATTTCTGCCTCCGTGGCTCTCTGTTCTCTTAAAGAGTGTCAGAATTACACCTGTTACCATTGCAGCTATATTATAGCTTGGTGTTCAGCCACCTCTGTTCTAACTTTCCATAATGCTACAGCATTCAACCCCTACCTGCTTCCACCACCTCTAACCAGACGCATCTGATCCTGAAAGGTAAGAGGTCCAGACTTGGCACACTTCTGATGGGAAATGACCTTAAGTACAAAGTTCTATCAGTATGAGCAGAGCAACCATTTTTAGACAACAATCACTAGACCCCAAAAAAACAAACAAGGCAACAACCTCATATGCTACTCCAGAGTTGCTGGGGAGGGCAGAAGGGGGACCTGAATGATACAAGAGGTTAGTAGGAGACATGAGGCAAGGAAATGTATAGATTAAATTAATTTCTGTCTCAGTGTCTTGTATTTGCTGTCTTTTGACTAGGTATTATCTGTAATTAAAATAAATTATGGACAGTAATACAATGTATGCTATTTTATATATAAAACCTAAAAGTATATGGTTAAATGACTGGAAAACTTCTAGTATAAAGCTTTTCTATTATGCTTCCTCTTATTAGCTATGTGATTCAGTACCTTTGCTACTATCAGTACTGTGGTCCATGATATAAAACATAAGGAAAAGACGTCTCATTTAAGCTGCCAGGCCAGCAACTTATTGGTCTCACAATCACTGTGGTCTCTTGATCATAATGAAGGAAATATACACACCCCACCCCAAAACCTGTATTTTCTTGCATTCGCACAGTGAAGAATAAAACACATGTTCCTCTATCTATAAACAACCACTTTGGAATTTCTCAGGTCAGATTAATATTTAATACTAATCACATTAATTAACATTACCACTAAATATTTCTTTGCACTTTACAAACCTGAAAGGGATGAGAGGACTTACCTCTGTCCTTAACTTCCTCGCACTGCTCAGAACATTCTCCATCCTATCTGGAAATACAGAGCTCTTACAGAGACTGCAGTGACCTCTCAACTGCCTGCCAGAAGCTCACTGACCAGATAATGCAGAGTAGCTGAAGGCAATGGATTATCTCCCTAATAACTCAGTATATGTTTGAATTGAGGATTATGCTATCAATACACCTGTTCTGGCAATGCCAATAGTTAATTTACCAGGCCTTTTAGTTCTATTAACTAGTGAAGACCTATAACAACGAGGGAATACCTGAAGAAGTGCTGATGAAGGACAAGGACAAATCTGCTGAAGAAGCTGTCATACAGTACTGAAAGAAAACACTCCATCCCCTTGTATACATAGAAGCAGGAAAATGCAAGTTAAGCTGAAGAGAAGGACTTGGGGACCTTTAAACTGCTACATCTGCTCCTCCTCTTTAGGCAGACATATTCCGGTAAAGCAAGTCAATTAAGCATTAACTCCAACTAGCCAAGTAACTACATACTTTTATTTTGAGGAATATTCAAAGCATAAAAGCCTTACATCGCTCTCAGTGCATCTACCAAATTCCCACAACTTCTACTTTCTACCATACTGCCATATGGGACATCTGCTTTCTAAATCTGAATTAAAATGCTTGAGACTAAAGGGTGATTCCCAAAAGACATTTTGTCCCTTTTTGTCTCGGATAAGCATGCAGATCATAACAGTTCTGATATTTATAAAAACTGCATTTACATGCAACAAGCAATTTCTGTTTCTCCTAAATTTTAATAACATATTTAACTGCACCTGACATAAATCAGACTGTTTTATTTGAACAATTTGCATGTAATATGCAATCTGTCATGAAAAAAACCATTTTCTCCTGAAGACCTCTTGCAACAGCCATGTCTACTGTGAAATCTCTGAAAAAACTAGATTGGGTTTATAGTGATGGATATTAGCTGAAGTGGGAATTATACCTTTCACTTCAAAAACCATGTTTTTATTTATTTTGACTGATCAGGGCAAATTGCACACAGTAAAACTGTTCACTTTTGGTTACTTGACAAGGCATTTAGGTGTAATGTAATAACCTGTACTAATATATGAAATGTTAAGAAATTTGGCACATAACTAGTAAGAGGGTTAGTAGTAGTAGGCCTAAGAGTTGTCTGTTTAAGCTAAGGAGTTTCTGAGCTGTAGGAATGAAGAAAGAAACTCGCATAAACACAGACAAAGGCCCCAAGGACAGAAGATGTGGAACCATGGCGACAGAAGATATGTGCATTGTATGACACAAAGGATTAGGCCCAGGCCCTGGCAACAGAAGGTAACGGACATCACACGAGATAAGGTGGGCAATGAAGGATTTAGTCGGAGGGGTCCGGCTTTTAGGGGCTGGCGATGTCAAAAATGGGGAAGAGGTGACGAGGAAGACTACTGGCCTTCCTCCTGAAGACCCCCGAAGACCACCACCTGGAGGTGATGCGCAGGCGCAAGAGTGACATGATTGTTTTAAAACTGCTGATCAAGATTTTTGGACTTAACCACGCTTTAATATCAAATATGTATGTTTGTGTTGTGCAATCCTATGAATATGTATAAGGTACCTGCATTTAAGTGGTAAATCTAAAGGGCTTGGTGTGCACGTTTGTGGAGGAGCAATCCCCCGTGCACCCAGCGCTGCAATAAATAATGCCTGCTTTCTAAAGCTCTGAGTCTCTTTAGAGAGTTTTTCTTCAACTGGCTTTCCAGTATCAGTACAAAGCTCAATTGTTTTAAACATAAATACATTTGCAGGTTTCCTGCTCCTTCCTACCATGTTGGTAAGGTCCAGGGTTTGCACACACCCCCCCATTAATTTATTTGAGATGATTTTTGTTAGTTCCCAGTTACATTGGTACTGCTAGCTTAGGAAACCAGAAGGAAAGACTTAGTTCAGTGGTAATGCACTAGTAATTTGATGCACTATTATAAAGCTTCATCAGAAAGAGCTTAAAGTGAGAAGAAAAGTTTTTTGAATTAGTCATGTGCTTCCTGGAAGGTCCAATGTTGGCGATATTTATATAAAGGGTTAGGTAGAGGACAGAAACAAGCTGAGTTACCAAAAAAGGTCCATACTGCAGGGAGGAATTCTGCTTTTGACATTTTGCTTCATCAACAGTTCTTGCTAAATCAGACCAAATATATCTTGGGTTATGAGAGGTGCAAATTCATGGACCTCACAGATTATTCTTATTTTTTTACATTAAGATATTAATCTCTTTTGCTACTTGACAGCCATAAAATCATAAAAAATTCTCATAATGCCTAATCATTGCAAAAGAAATTATTTTGTTATTGCGGTGATGGGACATCTTTAAGAAAGTAGGAGAGAATGGTATGTATATATATATATATATATATATATATATATATATTCGCATCTGACTTCTTTGTATCTGAACAGAATTTGAGTGGAAAAATACAATATTGAAGAGCCTCGGAGAATAATTTAGCCTAATAGTAATTCCTAAACAGAAACCTTCCTGTTGATTTGGTCACTTATGGTATCCAAGACAATCTGTAGCATTCCAGCAGAAGCTTGTGAGTATTCCAAGGTGGGCAAGACAGTAAAGATATTTTTCAAGAGAATGTGAAGTTTTTCCACAATGATATTGTAAGCCAGAAGGATATTATTGCAAGCAGGAAGCAATTTATAAGGAACTTCAAACAGGTTAAAAAACAGGTGTCTGAGAATAAAGAGCTAAATTCAGGAAACTTCAAACAATATTAAGGTCTTGATCCATGCTGGTGTTGTAACCTTCCCTCTGTATTCCCAGGGGGAAGGACTTTTCTTCCATAACTGAATTTTATAGCTACTCCCAATACTAAAGGTAAGGTAAAATGCATCTAAACTGATCTGTTTATGTTAAAAGAACATAATCTTTTGAGACAAACACATATCACATCAACAGCACGTCAAAGCAGATGCTAATGACGTGTTCAAGAAACCATGAAAACTTATTAGTGGTAAATGCAGAGTCTGAAGGATTAGAATGCAGATGAAAAGAAAAGCTTGAATAATTCAATTTAAAATTGAATATCAAAGGACAGATGAGGTGAAAATGTATACCCATTTGAAATGGAACTGAGCTACTTCCCTATTAAGAGTCCTTGACCATGTTGCCAAATGCCCTAATACTGTATTAAATAAATAGCATTTAGTCTGAAATTTCTCCTTCCTTCCATTAAATAAAAGAATACATATGCCTCACACTATGCTCAAAGTTAGTAAAACTACTATTTCAAAAACTCTTACAGAAGATAATGAATGCTTCTAGTTTAAATTACAGTCCTTATGCAGGCTTCCCATTCAATCTGAATTTTCAAGCATCCCCCTGGAAGACCTTCAACAAGCTACTGACAATGAGAGAGTAAAAATTTTAAGAATGTCAGTATGATCTCTGACGGCCGCAGATGCAGAGTAGG